TTTTGTGAGAGTAAGTATTAATTTATATACGTATATCGATATATTTTTAATTAAATAAAATTATTTATACGTATTGTATGTAAATTAAGATTAAAATTATAATAATCCTGTTTAGTAATATGATAGAATTGTTCTAATAAATATCGTAATTAGGTCATAACTTGATTACTTTAATATAAATAATAATAAGCTGTAACTATAGTTTCAGCAAGTTACGACAAATTATTAGAATGACTCTACATATCATATTGCCAGTAATACATACTGATATGTAGTAAATTATCTGACTATTTATAGTAGTAATGATGATATGTTTGCACTTCTAATTCTATTAATACCTACCCTTATTTTAATATAATCTTTTACTTTAATTCTAATAAATCTCTATAATTTATAGATTCTTTCAGAACATGAGAATGATTTAAAAAGTAAAATTAAAGAAATCCTTTGTGATCGAGATTTTTATGAAAATTGTCGGCTTATTGCATCTGTCCTTTATCCTCTTAAAATTTATATTGGATGTTTAGAATCGAAGACTTCTAATCTTGCTGATTGTTATATCCATTTATTATTATTAGCAAATGCAATTTGTCGTATATCAAATCAAAACATAATGTTTAAAAATTATTGTATTGAGAAATTTAATCATCGCTGGGATGAATTTTCTAATAATATTTATCTCTTGGCTTTTTTTTTACATCTACAATATTACGGTAATACAATACTGATATATACAAAATTTTTTTTAATTATTTTTTTTTTTATTAATTTAATAATATATTTTTAGGTAACGGTATCAATTCAGAAAAATTTTGGAATATTAGCATAGCAGCTGGACAAATTTGGAAAAATATGGGACATGATCAAGAATCGTGCAGCAAACTATTATCCCAAATACGAAAATATAAAAGTAAAAAAATACTATTTGAACAACTATACAATTCTAAATTAGATACGCCAATTATTTGGTGGGAGACTGCACAATATAAAAAAGAAGAATGGGAGTTACAAGTACTGGCACTTCGTCTTTTTGCAATAACTCCACATAGTGCTTCTTGTGAGCGTTCTTTCTCAGTTCTTAGTTTGTTTTATAATCAAAGACGTACTAATTTGGCCACATAGCGGGTAGAAGTAATGTGCAAATTGCATACATTTTATATTACTAATGCTAAACAAGAATTATCTTGTTACGCAATTGATATACCTGAAAATTTATTGCGTAATCAATTAATAGAATCAGTTATAGCAATTAATAATGAAACTGATGAAATTACTGATTATGATGCGGATAATATTAGTACAGAAATTAATAATGAAACTAATGAAATTATTAATTTCGATACATCCAGGGTGAATATTTTAAATATTATGAATGATATTGATATTGGGTTGCCAATGTTTAACGTAGACTGAAAAGCAAATGAAGATGAGATTATAGTTAGTTCGAGAAAACAAACAGTTATATTAGTTCCACAACACAATGATTTTGATATTGAAACATTAACTAGTAATATGTCAATAGAAGTTGATAATGATGAAATTCCATAAGTGTCACAAAGTTAAAACCAGTAAGCGAATATTAAATTTTCACTGCGTCTAACTTATTAAAATCACATTTAACAGTCTAATTTTTTTTTTTTTTTATTCTAATAATGTATCTTAATTTTGCATATTTGTTAAGTAGTATCATGGTGGACCAGAGTATAAAATGCAAATGAATATCGTCCGAAAATGTTTTTTTAAAGCAATACAATTGCTTATATGTTTTTTCAAAGCAATATAATTGCTTATATGCTTTTTATAAAGAGGTTTCTGATTCTCAAATAATACATTTGTTTCATAATGTGTTAGAAGAAATTTATTAAAATTTTAATATTATGTAGTAGATATCTCTTCAATTCATAAATAAAAAAAAAAAACAACACGGACCAATTTGTTTTTTTTTCATTTGTTGGTTAACTTCATGCTGCGTTGCATGCATTTATACGACTAGAACTGCTTATGTGTGATTAAATAAACAATTTTTTTAAGGAATAAGTCAAACGCACTGAAAAATACTGAAATATTATAAAGATTAATTTCGGCTAAACTTCGAGTTTCGACAAGGGTTTCGGATTCGGCACAGGTTTCGACTTCAGGTTTCGGATTTTTGGATTCGTCAAAACCGTTAAAAGTTTCAGCCACATGTATAGTACAAACATTAATTAGGTAAATTCTAGTAACTATTCGAAACTATAAAATCTTTTTCATAAGATTTGAACAACCATTACCAACGATAATTATGTTGAAATAATATTGCAGAACAATTTCCAT